GTCCCGAATTTGGACAGTGTACCTGGTGCCGAATTTGGACAGTGTACCTGGTCCCGAATTTGGACAGTGTACCTGGATCAAACTCGCGGCTTGGTACCAAATTTGGACACTGTACCTGGATCAAACTCATGGCTTGGTCCCGAATTTGGACAGTGTACCTGGATCACGCTTGGTTTTTCAGGCCAGCCGGTTCAATCCGTGTGTGGCGAGACTCCATGGTGCCGCCGGTTAAAATCTGTGTGCTGCTGCTAGACTCCGTGTACATGGTTCGACTTTTGTACACCTATAGAACACCCGGTTATTGGAGCTGTAACTGGACTGAAAAGTGCGCCAAATACGGCTATAATGACCGGGCGTTATATTCGGGTGAAGACGGTAGTCATGGCTGCAGTGGTTACGTCGCTTGTGGCTCTTGAGGAGGCCAAGGGCGCCGGTGCAAATCGGTGTGGTGCTGCTGGACTCCATGGTTCAGATTTGTACACCGTGTCATGGTTGCAGTGGTTTGCAGTGGTTGTACCATGCTCGACTCTTGAGGCCAAGGGCCCTTGGCCGGTTCGAATGCGTGTGGTGTAATGCGGAGGGATCCGAGGCTGTCGAGGTACTGAGCCATGTGAGAATCCCTGCTACTCAAGGGGGGGTTCAACTCCTAGCGAGTAGCTTTTTTTATGTACCGGAGGGGCCCTAAAAAGGGGGTGGGGTCCAAACGGAGCCCTTTTATCCAAGATCACACTCCCTCCTCATACTACACCTTCTGCCTGTCTACTTTCGTTTTCGAAATTGTTTTTTTTTTTTTTTGAAATTGAAATTACGACTCTTCGATTCAGAAAAAGTAAATAAATCAATAAATCATAAATATGGTCCGTTAAAAATAAATAAAAAAAATTGGAGCAAGCATCAGTTGGTTAGGCACGCAAGTAGCATTCAGGAGGTCGTGGGTTCAATTCCGACTGACCACCTGCGGCACTCTTGGTGCCAACCAACTGAGATAGTTGGCTTGCTCCCCCCGTTCGGTATTGGTAGGGTCCTTTGGCCATCATGGGTGGGCGTGTGTGTGTGTGTGTGTGTGTGTGTGTGTGTGTGTGTGTGTGTGTGTGTGTGTGTGTGTGTGTGTGTGTGTGTGCATGGATTGTGCTTGGTGTATGGGAGAGTGCTACCTAGTCATAGAAACTGCAGTTACTCGATGGGGACGGGGGAAGTAGATGGGAGGCGCAGCCACTGGCAAAAAATGCTCGGTCTTTGCATTAGCCGACCCCCACCCTACTCCCTGACCACCGCCGATTAGGGCGGGGGAAACATGCATCCCCTTTCCCTGGATTGCGAGAGGTAACTATTCTTGCAGGGGTCCCTTGTATGGGCTTAGGAGTAGTGCTAGGTAGGTAGTGAAAGGTGAAAATGCTGTCTCTTATACACATCTAGATGTGTATAAGAGACAGCACACACCCTTGACTGTGAGAGGTAGCTATGCTTGCAGGGGTCCCCTGTACAGGAGCAGGAGAAGTCCAGTTGTTAAAGGTGAAAATGAGAGAAGAATATAGCTTAGTCTTTTTTTTTTTTTTGGGGGGGGGGGGGGGGAGAGGGAGGGAACTTACTTCCTCCATAAGATCCCCCAAACAGAACGACAGGATTCTCTTCAGCCGTCAGATTCCGCTTCAGATCAATGAGCAACGTAGCAAAGTCCGCAATCGCCTGTTCTGATGTCAAGTAGCCTAGCGTAGAGGCATTCTGCAATGCAGTCTCGGTACTGCCAAAGGGCATAGATTTACCATAGTAACGATGCTGATCACAAAACAAACCGGAAAAAAAAAAAAAAAAGAGGTAAGGACGCCGGACAAAGGGTTAGGGAAAAAAAAAAAAAGAAAGGCAAAAGTGTTTTGAAGTGTTCCAACGCTAAGAGTTGATATTTAAACAGGTCGTAAGGATATAGAGTTTTTTTTTTTTTTTAACAGATATTAAACTGATTTTAGCTAAGATAAAGTCTTGTCAGTTTTTTCCAGATATTAAACTGACAAGACTTGATCTTAGCCAAAATGAGTTTAATATCTGTAAAAAAAAAAATAAAAAAAAAGACAAGAAAGGATATAGCCTTCAGAGGACATGAGTGTACGTAACACTTTTTTTTTTTTTTGG